GTAAATATCCTATGTGATAATATCGAATTTGAAATGAACATCAATGATTTTTATTGGATGTTGCTCTGATTTTATTTAAAGATCAATATATATATGAGATTGTTCAAGTACTAATTATGAAAAGATAAAAAAAAAAAGGTAAAAAAAGTGTATAATAATTATATAGGTTAGCAAAATATACTAAAAAAATCGAATTTTATTATAATAACAAATTAACTTAATATAATATCCATTAAATTTTGCCTTTTAATATTTTTCGCTTTTTTAATTTTCTGATCACTTCATAAATTACAAGCATCATCAATTGTATTCTATATATTAATATTTGTTCTGAAGGTTTCTTGCACTTATCGTTATTCCTTTCTAAAATATTATATAAAATTAATAAAATTTCTATTAAATCAGTTGCCGTTTTGGTATTTTTTGTTCTTAGCTCTTTTAATAACTGAAATCTATTTTTCAATTGACCAAATATCTGTTCTACTATAACACGAGATTTGCTATATTTTTTATTAAATGCAATTTGTTGATTTTTATCTAAGCTCAAAGGATTTTTAAATGAAGGAATTATATTTAAAGAAATTGGATATGCAGAATCAGCTAATACATAATTAGTTTCTTCAAAAAGCTGATTTCTGCAACAATATAAACTAGAATTCTGGAATACTTTTGCATCATGAACTGATGCTAGGTATCTGATATCATAATTTATAAAAATTCCTTGATGATCTACAACAGCTTGAAGGTGAATTGCATAACGATGTTTCCATGTAAAGTAAACATCTTTATTAAATTTACTTGAAGCTTCGAACAAATTCATATGAGATCCATCTAATGCACCAATTATATTTGAAAAACTGTGCATTTTCTCAAAACCTTTATGGACTTTTTGTCGATAATCACTATGTGGCCAGATAATAACATCTTCTTTTAAACTTTTTAAAACTTTAATAACTCTGGTAGTAAATAATGGAACAGTACCTTCAGCAATTCCAAATTTAGAACAAATATCCCAAATTGTTGCTTTTCCACCTAATCTATATAAAACTACTGCAAGCTGTTTTTCTATTGAATTTTGCTTTCTTTGTGGAATATTTTTAAAAATCTCATGATTTTGTATTTTATTAACAATCATCCAAAACGTTGATGGTTTCATTCTTAAAGTTTGACGAAACCAAAGTTCATCATAATTAAACAGAATATTAGAGTACCAGTGATCTGATTTTATACGAACATTTATACTTCGAGATGGATTGTTTAAATAATGAAGAATGATAGATTTGACAAAATTGTCATCATAACATGGATCAATATCAATATCAATTTCAGGTTCTAACTCAGTTATGACAGAATCTAAAGATTCTGTAAGTAATTGAAATTGAAGAGAATTCATCGCTTTTACAATAATAGTTGTTTAAAATTTTACTTTATTACCGTTAATTATAATACATTCGCTTGACATATGACACATAGTATAACATCTGATAAAATATTGCATTATCACAAAATCACAAAATAAAATTATAACCCTGGTCGTTATTTGTGATAATACATCTTTTAATCACGTAATAATAATACAAATTTTAGTACGTAATACATATTTTTTTTTACTAACCAAATAAAGATTCGGTATTAATATATTAGGATAACTATAGTATATACCAATGAAAAGAGTCTGAACTGCTGAATTGGGCCGTATTTAGCGATAGTGTTATTTGTTTTTAGTTAGTCTCTTACCTTATTAAGTAGGACTCAAAGGCTGGGATAATTTAG